GTGACTAACAGAGACAGACACATCCACCCTGAGGATTGCGTGCCGTCAGGAGGCAGAGTTCCCGATGCTGCAGCCCTAATAGGCCTGTGGTCACGGGAAACAAACCCGTATCCTAAGACGATCAGGTTTCCTGACTCACCACAGCGGGGGGACCCCAGAGAGCCCTGTGGCCTGTCCCCAAACACAGGAAGAGATGGACTTCCTGTAGGATGTGGAAGGAAGGTTGAGTTTAGGTAAAATTTCAGTGAAGCTGTTTTTGATCGACTGAGCAACTAGCAGGACCGTGTGTGGGGGGCGGGGGGGAGGGGTCAGATCTGCTCTGGCTGCAACGTGGTCGCAGGGTCCTGTGACCTTGGAGGTGGATGTGAAACATGGGGCCCGGACACCCCTCACCTGGAGCTCCGCGCCTGGTTTGGAAATCAGGCTGCTTCTCTGTGGCCAAGTGACTGAGGTCCTCCTCCAGGCGCAGGGGTCTTTCATCCTTTACTGCCGTCATTTCCAACAGTTATGATTTGAGAGTTTCCAACAGTTATGATATGAGACTTCCTTAGTGAGCATCAAAGCAGTGAACGCTTGAAGAAGGGAGCTGCTATGACCCTGTGCAGCTTGTTCTGGGGTGGGGGCAAGGGGGAATTCTGTTTCGAGTATCTGTGTCTCTAATTCCAGTCTGAGGGGTGGCAGGCCAGATTTTCCAAGCTAAACACTTACCTTTTCAATGTCAACTGTAATTCTTAGTTTTTGCTTTTTATAGAGGAAAGCAAAAACTAAGTAGTCATGTATAGATGTGAGAGGTGGACCATAAAGAAGGCAGAGCATCGAAGAATTGATGCTTTTGAACTGTGGTGTTGGAGAAGACTCTTGAGAGTCCCTTGGACTGCAAGGAGATCAAACTAGTCAATGTTAAAGGAAATCAGTCCTGAATATTCATTGGAAAGACTGATGCTCAAGCTGAAACTGCAATACTTTGGCCACCTGATGCGAAGAGCTGACTCATTGGGAAAGACCCTGATGCTGGGCAAGATAGAAGGCAGGAGGAGAAGGGGACGACAGAAGACAAGATGGTTGAATGGCATCACTGACTGACTGGACATGACTTTGAGCAAGCTCTGGGAGATGGTGAAGGACAGGGAAGCCTGGTTGGCTGCATGCAGTCCATTGGGTTGCAAAATTGGACACAACTTAGCAACTGAACAACAATGCCATACATAAAATACTCAGAAACCTGGGCCACATAAACCCTGGGCATGAAAGGAATTTTGTTCTGGCCACTCAGATTTTGGACCTCCTTCTTCCTTATATGCTGAAATATCCAGAGTACTCCTGAATCAACTTTAGTGATCTGTTTGGCAGTTCTGTAAGAGCCTCTTTCAATTTTACTGAAAGCAAGAATGAAGTGACGCTGTTTGCGTATATCACCCAGTCCTTAGAAACCGTTTGTTTTCTCAGATCCACAGCAGTGTTTCAAACATCCCTTGGTTTGGCAGCCTGTAAGTTTTCACATTCTGGGATAAGGTGCCATGTAAGATCTGGGATGGGTGAGGTCAGGTGCAGCTTGCTTTGGTAAACGGGAGGAGGATGAATGTGGAAAGGGGCACACGAAAGAACAGGTGCAAGTCGAGGGAAGTCCCCGAGTGCTCTCTGCCTGGCTGTGCTTCCTGGAAAGTCCTCAAGGGACTGTGCTGGGAGGAGCTTTCTAGTGGGCAGCCTTCCATGTGCTGGGGGTGGTGAGGATGGGGTGGGCCTGCGGGAGGGGAGGCAGAAGGATCAGAAATGCCAGTTGGTCAGGGCCGTCCATTCATGGCACAAAGGGAACATTCTTGATCACTGTTGTGTCAAGAATAAGTAATATGACCAGATGCTTTTTTTAAAAATTTTAAATTGTGCTCAGTTGATTTTCATTTATTAATAACACAGTAGAATTAGTTGGGTTTTTTTTTCCTCCTGTCATTAAGTGTTTTCCCTTGAAGGAAGCAGAAATCATTGGTTTTTCTTCTTTTCTCTCCCTCTTCTTTCTTTTATCTTTCTCTTTTTCCTACTTTTTAACTACAAGTCAGGGCTAGTTGTGAATTTCAGTGATTGGCGTGGGCCAGCTGACTCAGTTAAGATCCTTATGGTCTGCATGGTGTATGAGGTTCATTTTCTCTTGTCCTTAGTATCAGTGAAGGCGGCTTTATGTAGTTGTATAACAGTTTATAAAACTTACAATTATGAGTTTGGCAAAGCAATCACAAAATACAATCATGTCTCTCCTTCCTCCTTAAAATAAAATTCTGGTTTATAGGCACCTAAACTCTAAACCCAACATTCATAAAACTAAAATCATAGCATCCGGTCCCATCACTTCATGGCAAATAGATTGTGAAACAGTGGCAGACTTTATTTTTGTGGGCTCCCAAATCACTGCAGATGGTGACTGCACCCATGAAATTAAAAGACATTTACTCCTTGGAAGGAAAGTTATGACCAACTGAGACAGCATATTAAAAAGCAGAGACGTTACTTTGTCAACAAAGTTCTGTCTAGTCAAGGCTATGGTTTTTCCAGTAGTCATGTATGGATGTGAGAGTTGGATTATAAAGAAAGCTGAGTGCCGAAGAATTGATGCTTTTGAACTGTGGTGCTGGAGAAGACTCTGAGAGTGCCGTGGACTGCAAGGAGATCCAACCAGTCCATCCTAAAGGAAATCAGTCCTGAATATTCACTGGGAGGGCTGATGTTGAAGTTGAAAATCCAATACTTTGGCTACCTGATGCAAAGAACTGACTCATTGGGAAAGACCCTGATGCTGGGAAAGATTGAAGACAGGAGGAGAAGGGGATGACAGAGGATGAGATGGTTGGATGGCATCACTGACATGACTTTGAGCAAGCTCTGGGAGATGGTGAAGGACAGGGAAGTCTGGAGTGCTGTGGTCCACTGGGTTGCAAAGGGTTGGACACAGAGTGACTGAATTGAACTGAAATTCTAAGCAATTGCTTTCCCAAATTCCCTTGGGAGTGAGGGTGCCAACCCATACTGAAGTGTCTGCATTTGGCGTTGTCAGAAACTCGATGAAAGAACTGGGCTCCAAAATGCCTAAGACTCTTGTGAGAATCTGGATTTTATTCTGGCTGTAACTAAGAAAGTTGACTTGCTGAAGCAGAATGCTCATTTTGCTCATAACTTTGCTGTGTTCATCCTTCTGTTTCAGGTTTCATTTCCAGGGGCCATGTGGGACAACTCTTCCTGAAGCCCTGGCTCCTCATGAAACTGAGACTGTTTCATAGCCATCCTGGGGAAGCAAGAAATCTCAGCGCATCTAAGTACCCAGCCACCAGCAGGGGAGGCAGTCTGGTGGATGGTGAGCCAAATACTGGAAAGTCTGAAAATATCTTTTGATTGCCAGGCTGGAATCCAAACTGCTGATGGTTGATGGGGACTTGGAAGCAACAGTAGTAACTGTGTTTAGAAGGAGAAGTCACAGGACTTCTGAAGTCAGTTCCTATTATTTTGTTTGATCCTAAACATAAGTCTGATGTGTTTGGTTGGTTACTGGGTAACTTTGTAATTAGATTGTCTAAAACAAAGTGATTCTGCTGATTGTGTTTTTGCTATTTGGGCAGAGATAGAAATAGAGGGGTAAAACTCTGGTATTTCTGATTGTTGCGCAAGGTTTGGTGGAAAATGAAATCACTCTCTATGCAGGTAACTTATTGCATAAAAATTTTAGCCCAAGAGATGTCTTTGTTTGGGACGTTTTCTTTTCAGTGTTTATCTGTTTGACTGCCTTACCTCAAGTTCAGGGCAGGGATAGCTTACAATAAGAACTCATGCAAGGATGGAAGAGAAAATTAGCAGCAAGGTAGAAAATCAGGATGAGAAGAAAGAATGATGCAAATATAGGTTAAACAAAGCTGCCTAAAACTGAGCAACAGCCGGAGAGGAAAGGGAGAGGCGATGGTGGGCTGTTTCTCAGTATCATATACACAGAAGGACATTTCTCACTGTTATAAACACACACGCTGTGGGGTCTGCCAAGCTTCCCCAGACAGGGAATCTGGAAGGGAGTTTTTCCCATGGGACTTAAAAAGTGTATGCTCAGAGTACCTTTTTTGTAAAGTAGGAAGAACACAGCCCCCCTTCAACTCCCACCACCTAATGCAGACCCAGGGAAGCCGGCTATCAGCGAGCACCAGAGACCAAGGCGGGAAGTGGCCATCAGCACCCAGCGCGGGAAGGTTGGACAGAACGAACTCCCTTAGACCAGGTGGGCTTCCCGGGGGATTATGCAGCTGGGTGACATCACTTCTGGCCCTCACAAAAGTGCATTTACTCTCACACCCTTGGCTTTCGGAGAAGCCACATGGTGACATAAAACTTTGTGCTGTATTTGCAACCGCCTTTGAATAAATGCCAAGGATCCTTTGCATGGGTAGGAGGGACTTACAATACTTATAATGCAGTTTCGGTATGTAAAATGGGGCTGGTGAAGATGAAGTTTGAGTAAACTCCAGGAGTTGGTGATGGACAGGGAGGCCTGGCATGCTGCGGTCCATGGGGTCGCAGAGTCGGACACGACTGAGCGGCTCCCTGAGCGCAAAGAGGCGGCGACAGGGCGACCGGGGCTCGAGGTCCCCGGGTTCCTGGGTACCGGGCAGCGTGACCCGCGCCAGCCCGCCCCGAGGAGCGCGGGGATCGAAGCAACAACGCTCTCGGCATCCCCGTTAAGGCTGCAGCAGCACGGATCGGCCCTCCCTGGACACAAGCCCGTAAGTCCACCGGCTCGCGTAACCGTGGGCGGGGACCGACCTGGTATCCTGGCCGGCGGCGCGCAGGCTCCAAGCCTGCTGGAAAGGAACCCCCGGGCACTTAGGCCACGCCCCATTCCCTGTTCTGCGCATGCGCCTCCGTGACGCGCGGTGGGGCCTCCGAACCTGCAGAGGGCGGCAGAGCCCCGGCGGCGCCTGCCCTTTGCGTCACTCCCCGCATGCGTGCGGCTTCCGGATCAGAGGTCAAGACGGCGGGACCCCGCAGCTCGGGTCATGGTGCAGCTCAGGCCGCGCGCGTCCCGCGCCCCGGCGTCCGCCTCGGCAATGGTGGACGAGGGCCAACCCGCCTCGGAGGAGGAGGCGGGGCACGGGCTGCTGCTCGGGCAGCCCAGCAGCGGCGCGGCCGCCGAGCCGCTGGAGGAAGACGAGGAGGGGGACGACGAGCTTGACGACGAGGCCCCGGAGGAGCTGACTTTCGCCAGCGCCCAGGCCGAAGCGAAAGAGGAGGAGCGGCGAGTTCGGGAGACTGTGCGCAGGTTCGGAGTCCCGGGGGCCGGGCTAGGCCAGGGGGGAAGCGCCGCCTAACCGTCCCCCTTCTCTTCTTCGCCCGCCCTTACTTGTCGCGGTTTCTTCCAGGGACAGAGCGCTTCTGAAGGAGAAGAGGAAGCGGCGCGAGGAGCTGTTCATCGAACAGAAGGTTAGAGGTTTCCAAAGGCGGGCGCGTTTCACGGGCCGGCTCGGGGGAGAGTTCAAGGCTGCGGGGGTTCGGGGTGGAGGAGAGCTGCCGGTGGTCTCTTCGGACGGCACTGACATCCGCGTCCTCGTGCTCCTCGCTGTCCACCGATTCAAATTAGGGTCGAGAAGAGGTGTGCACTTGAAATCGTAGGGCCAGACCCACCTCTGACGCGCGGCGGAGGTGATTTATGTGAACCTGGGTAGCTGTGAGAAGGCAGCGCTGGGTAAATGGAGGGCCGTGCAAACAGAGGATGCTTGGTTCGCGCTCTGATGTTCGGGAGATTGGCCACAGGTGGACGTGACTCTGTACTGCCCTCGGTGTGTAACGTCACCCGAGGGTTGAAATAAAGCAGGCACTCTTTACAGCCTTCACCTCTTCCAAGTGAAGTAGGAGTAGGTTCTGAGTTGCTCAGGCCCCAGTCTTCCCACAGCTTAGAGGTGGTGGAGGGCAGTGTTCAGATCATTTATTTGCCGAGATGTAGGGCTGGACGTGTGGTCCTGTTCCTTCCTTTTTATTGATTTTTTTTTAAATGCCTTTAAGAAAAGAAAACTCCTTCCAGATACTATTCTAGAGAAGTTAACTACAGCTTCACAAACTAGGTAAGTGGTGGATCTCATTTTATTACTTGTTTACATAGTGTTTTAATGCCGTCTTGGTACATTTGTCGTCTAAATTAAAAAGCTACACAGGAGCTATTTGAATTTGGTGGGACAGATGGAGGGAAATGTGCCACTTCTTTTCCATCTGTGGCTGTTTCTTATTTTTGTTGTTCCCATGGGTAACTCCAGCTTCTGAGTTGCTGATCTCAGTGAGTTCTTAAGAGTAAATTGTGGACCACTGTCAGTGTACCTAGGGGCAGGATAGATGGTGTGAATAAAACAGTGTTTTGAAATTCATCCTTTAGTGGGGTGTGGAGTACTAGTCTATTATCCATAGGCTCCTAAAACTCAGCCTGTCCCGGGCTTGCCTCACCTGCTTCTCCCTCCTTGTTACAGTGAAGTCACTCAGTCCTGTCTGACTCTCTGTGACCCAGTGGGCTGTTTCCATGGGACTTTTCCAGGCAACTGGAGTGGGTTGCCATTTCCTTCTACAGGGTATCTTCCCGACCCAGGGAATCAAACCTGGGACTCCTGCATTGTAGGCAGATGCTTTACCATCTGAGCCACATAATTTTCCCCTCCTTGTTCCCCTTTTCATTTAGTAGCTTTGCCATCCACCGGATGTTTAAAGCTCCTCTTTCTCCTCTGTGATATGGAATCAGTCTGATTCCATATTGAATTCCAGATTAAATATTTGCTATTTTTTAACTGTTCCCCTTTGTCTCCTCTTATTGCTTTCAATAGCTTAGCCCTGCTAGGACAGTGGTTCTTTTTCCCTAGAACTTTTCCACAGAGTTACTCAGATTCTGAATACATCATGGTGGCAAAGTCCCTTTGATCTTTGAAAACCAAGTTAAGATGTCACATGTCCCTTCTTACTGCCTCTACCCCATCACTGCCCCCACCGTTTAGCTTTTCCACTTCTGTATATTAATCTCATTGTGTTCTGCCCGTTGACTCTCTCTCCATTAGACCACACTTCTTGAGACTACCATTGCTTGTCTCTGTTCTTATGTCTGAAGTGTTCAATTAATCCTTTCAGCTCTCTCCACATAAAGTGAGCCAGGCCTACCACTTTTCACTTCATGTTTCAAGTACTGTATTACATAATTCTTAAATACTTTTAACTCTATCAACCACAACAATCTGCTTCTTTGGAAGCCTGCTAATGTACTTTCAGATTTTAAATTCTGATCCTCCTGGCCTAATATAGTTTGTTGATTGGGAGTTGTTGACAGTGCATTGGGGAGTGACTTTAAGGATGCTAAGTAAAAAGTGAGAATGGTTGTAGTTAAAGGGGGTATCTTATTTGTAAAACCAGCTGAAATTTTGTGATAACTTGAGTTATCATTGCTCTCAACCATCCCAGTCAGTGTTTTGCTTGTTCTTCCTTAGTGTGAAGAAATCACCGGGAAAGTTGAAAGAAGGTATGAACTATTTAACTAACCTCTCATTAAGTGTCAAGGGCATTTTCTGATATTTGCAGTTAAATGTTGTTGACCCTGAGAAGGCACATGGGAACAGGCCTGGAGGGCTTTAGCTTGTTTCTTTCCTCAAAAAAATAATTTATTTGGCGATGCCGGGTCTTAGTTGTGGCATGCACATCTTTTAGTTTTGGCATGTGGGATCTAGTTCCCCCCGTAGGATTGAACCTGAGCTCCCTGCACTGGGAGCTCAGTCTTAAATTTTATTTTGTATTGTACGGTCACATACAAATTAGTGTGTAGTGGATATTTAAAGTAAACTCCAGTATATATTCTTGATTTACTTGTGCACAAATGCTAATGAGAACTATAACTGAATTTTTTAGTTAATTTGCAAAAGAAAAATGAAGAACGAGAGAAAGGAAGTGACTCTAAGAAAGCTAAAGAAAAAGTGCAGAAAGTACAGACTGTTGGGTAAGAAGTCTTCTTTGTGTGTAGGATGTAAAGGTGACCTTTGAGGGGGGTATTACCTCAATTAGCGGTTTCAGATTGGTTCCTCTGTGGAAAATTTTTGGTATTTATATTAAAAGAAAAAAAGTATTTGCTCTACTAATAATTTTCTACTAATTTTCCCCTTTTGTGCTGATCGCCAGCCAGAATAAAAGCTACATGGCTGTAAGGCTAAAAGATCAAGATTTGAGGGATTCAAGGCAAGAAGCAGCCAAAGCCTTCATACAAAATTGTTTATATGGCCCTGGAACCAACAGAACTACTGGTAATTTCCTTACAGACTGTTTTTCTTCCTTTCTAACTGTGAATTAAACAAAAACATGATAAATAATCCTCTTTCCTAGTAAACAAGTTCCTGTCTCTTGAAAACAAGAGGTTACCGATGAAAAAGGCTGCAGCCCAGTTTTTGAACAATACTTGGGGTAAGATTTGGCTTTATTCTCTTGAGTCTGAGTTTTATGTGAATAACGTTCTTTGTTAAGGAGATAGTAAATACTCATGAAGTATCTTTTCCTATAATGGCTCTGTTACTATTTAAAGTCGCTCAGTCTAAAGAGCAGGTCAGTGTCTCAGATATGTGCACGTGCGCTCAGTCGTGTCTGACTCCCGTGACCCCAGGGCCTCTAGCCCAACAGGCTTCTCTGCCCATGGGCTTCTCCAGGCAAGAACACCGGAGTGAGCTGCCCTGCCCTCCTCCAGGGGAGCTTCCCGACACAGGGACTGAACTGTCTCTGGCCTTGCAGTCAGATTCTTCTACTGTTGAGCCACCAGGGAAGCCCAGTAGATGTGTACATGTAACAAATTTTATTCTTTTTTTTTTTAAACAAATTTTAATTATGTAGAAAATTTGTGAATTCTTTCTTGGGAATTTTATTTCTTTATTCTTAACTGCAGAAAACCTTTTATTCTAGGATCTCAGAGAAAACAAAATGCCAAGAGATTTACAAAACGCTGGATGGTCAGAAAGATGAAAACTCCCAAGAAGTAAATCAAAGCTAGATGAAGAATGAGTACTTTGTATGTATAGAACTTGGTTATTTAAAGAATTTAATTTTTCTGGAAAAAATAAATAAATCGCTTATAAACCCTTCCTTAGAGTCACTATAAGAGTCTCAAGTCTCTTGGGGCGGTACCTAGTCACACTTTATCCACCCGGCGTGTAAGTGTGCGTCCTAGTCTTTGAGCATCCTGGAAGCAGCAGTTTAAAAGGACTGTTCTCCTTCCTTTTTTAAGTGTTTTCCCATTTTATTGGCCGTGAGCAGCACCCACGCCGGAAGGGCGCCTCTGCTCCCCCCCGCCCCCGGGATGGCAGTGCGTGTCTCCTGCTGACCCTCTCAGATGCGCTCATCTCGGGTGTTTTGGTGCCACTGATGAGAATTTCACAGATTCTGTGGAAGGGCGCTGTATCCAAGTGTAGATAATCTGCTCTTTTAAAAGAAGATTTAAGACTCCGTGTACAGCCAACAGAGACCTTTGCCAAAGCAAAGATACGGTCATTCTATTGAAGAGCCTGTTTATATTTTACTTTTAACCAGTTTGGGGGTTTGCTTGAAAACTGGCAAGTCACATGCCATATGATATTGTGAAAATAAGATTAACTTCCTGCTTTCTGTATCACCTACAGTATCAGGTTTGGCCCTAATCCAGGGAGGCCAGTAAACGCAAGGCGGTCTTAGGTTGCAGAGCTCAGATTTATAGTAGCAACCATTCATTTCACTTCTTCTAACTTTATATTAATCATAAGTATGCAAATACCTAATGTATAAATTCAACTGACACTCTGGTATCTGTAGAAGTAAATTTTTAATGGCTGGTTAATTGTATCACTACATTTTATTGCAATATAGTACTCATTTTAAGCACTTAAAAATGGAAGGTGTACAAAGATTAAATTAAGACACGGTAAATTGACTAAATATTTGGTTTTTATATAAATAAAGGTCATAACCACACTGCTGACATGTAATACTGTTATAATACAACAGTTCACCTTGTGAGTCTACAACAGAAGTCATCTGTAGTTAAACAGGAAACAAAGCTGAGAAAGACCATGTTAAAACAAAACTACTGGGACTAACAGGTCGGGATTGTAAGTAGCAACAGACATATTCACTCAGCTCCTGAGTATTTCAAGTTTTACAGTACACATTAAAAATGATTTCTTCCATCAACACTATAAATTCAAACTGTCAGATGTTTATGCATTTTGCAAGTTACACTGATTGAATGCTTATATGGGAGCGGGGGTCAGAATACCTCCCAATTTGAAGTTTACATCACCCACATGCTAACACAAACACAACTTGTTCCATTTCCTTCCCCCCTCTCTCCCCCCAACAAAGAAGGCAGGATTTTTTGGTTTCTTTTAGGTAATTGTTTTAAAGGATTTGTGATGATCAATTTGAATGTCTGAAATTCAGTAATATTTAACTCTTAGACAACTAAGAGGTTAAAGATGGAAAATAATTTCTCCTAACACTAAGTTAGAAAATCATTTGCATCATGCTGTAAACTAGGAAGCAATGTAAAGCGACAAAAACCTGTCCCCAGTACATAATTAAAAAAATCTAAATTTCAAATCAGCAGAGCTGGTCTACTTCCATGTTGTCTATATGCCACAATATAAGTGTGAGCTCCGAAAATGCATAGCTAATGTAGGTAGTCGTCCACTGTGGCGAAAGCACAGGATCCGATTCCTGATCGGGCCATCAGTCCCAGACACTGGGTGGCCTGTCCCATGGCTAGGGCAAGTGGAGGTTGCTTTGGCAGATTGTGGGTTTCTGAGGAAAAAGGATTAAGAGTGGAAACGGCAATTAGCAAGACATTATAAACAGCATCTCTCAATCAGGAAAATACTGCATTGCTTACAAAATTACCAGTGCCTGTACTGCTCTGACGAGCTAAGCAGCAAAGCTGGTTTTTAAGCAGACAGTGCCTTGGACATCTACTCTGACCAGGTACTGTGGTCACTGGGTATTCAAGTCGTAACAGATTCTTGCAGAATTAAGACTTTGTTAGATATTCAAGAACTTTTACTTCCATATTTACTATGATGGGAATGCTGTAATTTCTTATCTAATGTTTGCAGTGGTTAGTAAGGAATATTTAGTATCTCTGATCAGGGTCACTTGACATTACCAGAGAAAAAGGCACCAGGTTTTCAGTGAAGTTTCACTGATGGGATTCTTCCTTTCTGGGGATATGACCCAACAGAGACTGCCTACTTCTCTCCAGGGTGTAGTGGTGAGTGCTATTTGGGCTGGTAAGCACTTTGTTACAGTTTTATTTTGGCCACGGGAGGCACATCAGTTATAACTGTCCTTTAGATTTTTTTTGAAATACAAAACTTGCAGGCATCATATACTAGTAATGTAACTTGAAGCACTGTTGAGACATGAAACTCTATAATACAGCACAGTATTTATAAATATGCACACATATGCCCACAGCAGTTTAAGTCTTGTCATTCCTTTTGCAGGAATTATATATATTTAATAAACTTAACCAGTATTTATAGTTGAACTACATAATTTATGGCACAATATATAAGACTATATCTCTCTCTCTCTCTCTCAGATAATGGTTCTAAGCAACTGACTACTTGAAATTGTAATTTCCCTCAAGAACATAAGATTCTTAACTGTCATATGAAAACTGGTCACTTTTCTTCAAAAATTCTTTCCGAGTCTGAGTGTTACCCAGATACAAAGCAATTAGGGCTTCATGATTATCTATAATGTATGTAGTCATTTCAAAAAGAAGTTACAGTAAACTACAATTTGTCCTACAATCCTAGCACTGCTACTGAGTATACTTATTTTTTACTGGTATAGCTAACTAAATTTTGTATAACCAAAGAACAACATATTAACCAAAGAAGTTCACAGTATTACATACAAATTTTAAACGTGAGAAAACTGTAACACAATACCACTTCCTATGCCAAAACTTCAGTTATAAGCCACAACAGTTAATAGTAATGAACCTTATGAGGGCAAAGCAGCAGACAGGCCCCAGCGTCAGAGCTCTGAGCTGTCCCCTTTCCGCTCCGGCTGCCTGAGCCCTGGCCTCCGCTCGGCCTCCTGCCTACACGCTGACTGCGTGCACTGCCCGCATCTGAGTCTTGCACGTTCCTCAAAGCGCCCAAGCCTAACGGCCAAACAGCACACAACAGACTTCAAACTGGTAACTCCCACTTTTCTTGAGAAATCCCATTCTAAAATGTAAGGTGAAAAGTCACTCTCATCCGAATTCCCTTTGAAAAAAACTGCCCCGACATTAAAATGTCATTTTCTGTAAACAATCAACCCTATGTATTTGTATATAAATGCATAAAACGTGCAGTTACTGAATTCATTTAAAGAGTGTCTGTTCAGTTTATAAGCACCACACTGCTCACAGGAACGGCCACCAGTCGGGACAGCGAGTCCCTGGCTGAGCCTGTGTATTGCTCTCCCCTTCCCTCCCTTTTTCACTTGGTGACAGCATGTAGTTAAATCTGAACTTGAATGCAAACAGCCGGCATCTCCAAGAGCTGGGGCTGACAGCACTGAAGAGCCACCGGGAGGCCGAGCCAGTAGCTTCAGCATGGCGGGAGCTTGGGCTCGGGTGATTCAGGCCAGGAATGCTTGTCCACATTCACACACAAACCTGTTTTCCAGACATCGCAAGATACACCCCAGTGTACTGTTTTTATTCCATTTGAATCCATTTAATCTGGGACTGAGATAACAGGAATTTTTCTATACTGTAATTTTTTTTAAATGTAAAAAACATTTCCCTTAAGATTTTACTGAAGGATAAATGCCAGCACAAATACCGTCTCAAATACTCGAGAGACTAGCTGAAGCTGTGCTTTCTGGCTTCCCTTACCTAATATTGCACTGTTGAGGGCTGAGCACACAGGTTCTCTCTGAATTGGGTCGAGCTGATTTCCCACTGGGCTGTTCCAAGGATCTGAATAGGCCAGTAAACTGAATGCATCCTGTTGAAAACACAGCAATTTGATTAATTCAGAGAGTTCAGTGTCTGTGCGCACTATGGTTTCAACTTGAGAGACAGGTAAAATACAACCTTAAGGCACTGGATTAACACTTAAACTCATTTACCCCTGTGACTATGAGATGTTTTTTAACAACTAGATTATGCAGCAAAGTCTTAATTTGTTTTCCTGTTTTTTTTTAATAAACAGCCATTTTCACCATCTACCACTTATACCTACAAAACATACAGGCAGAAATAAAAATGGAAAAAACTCATTCTTGTAGAATGGGCTACTACTGTTTAAAGTAAAGACAAAACATTCAGATGCTTTACAATTAATGACCACTGATATGAATGTGAGATTAAAAGGATACAACCTGTCCATGTATTTTTTAAATAGATGGGGGAAACTGGACACATCTTGACAACTTCTCAAACTCAGTGATCAAAAAAGGACAACTAGCTCCCCTTCAGGAACACTCAGGCGTTCCAACCATCTCCAGACCACCCCTCCTGAAGTAACACAGCCTTTTCAGGTGACGGTGCTTGTCTTTCTGTGGGAGGACGTAGCTACAATGGTTTCAGACATTGGCCTCAAATTAAGCTGCATCACCAGTGTAGCCTTTGGCAAGAACCTTCCTAAGTATCAGTTTGATCATCTGTATAAATGGGAATGGGCTTCCCAGGGGGCTCAGTGCTAAACAACCTGCTTGCCAGCGCAGGATCCACAAAAGCTGCAGGTTCAATCCCTGGGTCAGGAAGATCCCCTGGAGGAGAAAATGGCAACCTATATACTTGCTGGGATAATTCCAAGGACAGAGGAGCCTGGAGGGCTATAGTCCATGGGGTCGCAGAGTCGGACACGACTGAGCACATCCCCACACACACATCACAGGGATTATAACAGGTCCTATTTCAGTTTATGAGGCCTCACTGAGCTAAAGAAATTCATGTCAGTTCACTAATCTTTCAATGAATGATAAATTACTGTTTTGCCAGAAATCAACACCCTAATCCAGAGTAATATTATAACAGATATAGACAGTTAGACATAGGACACCCTTCCCAATTCACAAGGGGTACATGGAGAAGTGCTGAAGAAACAAGCAGTGAATTCAGTAACAACACTCAAAACGCCGGTCACTGAAATGTGGAAGACAAACTCCTGAAGAACACTATCTTCCCCGGCCAACTGCTCCAGCAGCCCGAGGCATCGTACTAGTGGGAGAAGGCTTCCTGCTCACGTCTGTCCTCTCCTCTCTCATCTGAGTTGGCCTCTCTTGTGGCGACTGGAGAACTGCCCATTAACCAGCTGTGCAGTCTGAGGTTGACAACAGGAATACGTCAGGCTCCCCCACCCACTGTCCTACACTGCTGAGCATTTCATTCACATTAGACTTCTTGCCCCAGCTATTAATGAAAGTTCTTTGAAGAACTTACACTATTCTGATCCCCTGTAGCTACTCAAGGTGCTGGATACAAAGGGGTGAAAAGTAGAGGCTTCGTATATCTGATTGCAAGACCTGCTTAACAGTATTTAAGATATCTTTTGCATCCCACAAAGCTAATAGGTTCTGTTTCTGGTTCCCTCCCAATCCAAATTTATTCATGGAGAAAGTACTAATATCTGATTATCCTGTGAAGCTAACTGATCAATCACTATTTCTAAAGACTGAGCTTTGCTCAAGACTTCATTCACCCCACCCACATCCATCTCATGAAGTACCATCCCCATAGTGCAGTTCAGCTCAGTTCAGTTGCTCAGTTGTGTCTAAGTCTTTGCGGTCCTGTAGTGCAGATAAACTTTAAAAAACTGAAGAATCTGTCCAAGGAATAATCGCTACATAAAACTTTAAGCACAAGACCATGCTCCTGAATCTATATCCTGACTTGTTCCCCAAAGGTGGGATGCTGCAGTTCCAAATCTCCCATCAAGGCCACTCTGCCTACACCTCCTGTTATTTAAAACATTAACAGAAAAGATCGTGATGGTAGTAACTTATTGTGCGCTAACACTGTGCAAGGCACTGTCTCAAGGGCTAATGTGTACCATCTCATTTAATCCTCACAATAACCTTAGGAGGCAGATGTTTATGCCCATCTTAGAAGCAAACTGAGGCTGTGAGAGGTTACCACCACACCTAGTACTTCCTGTCCTTCTTTTAGTAAAAACAGTTTCTTTTAATTACCAATCTAAATATTACAAGCAAAAAAGTCTAAGATTTTGGCCCCATATTTTCAGTACGGTTGAACGAGTGTTTATTGGACGCAGACGGGGATCACCAGGACCTCGTCACTGTTCCAAGGACTCACAGTTCGGGAAGGAAGGCAGACGTGTGAAGAGTGATGCTCCGTGTCCTGCTTACTAACAGAGTGGACTGTGTCGCAAGAAGCGCCACAGAAACAGGCTCGAGCTACACAGAAACAGGCTGAGAGAAAAGAAAAGCCCTGGATGCTGGGAGCCATGGGTATGAGCTTAGATCCGAAAACACCCTAGAAAACTTCCATTTTTTCCAGTATAGCAATAGGAGTTTTTAGTCACTCAGTCGTGTCCCGACTCTCTGGGCCCCATGGACTGCAGTCCACCAGGCCCCTCTGTCCCTGGGATTCTCCAGGCAAGGGTACTGGAGTGGGTTGCCATGCCCTCCTCCAGGGCATCTTCCTGACCCAAGGATTGAACCCATGTCTTCTGCACTGGTAGGCCAGTTCTTTACCACAAGCACCACCTGGGAACTGGAAATACATTTTTATGACAGTAAAGAACAATACAAAATAGGATAACTACAATTACCAATCAGATAAAATATTAATATATGCCCATGCATTTAAGGCAGAAAACACCTGTAAGATATCATGGCATTATGGGTTACTTTTTATTTTAGAAAAAAAATTACCTCAGTGGAAATAATTTCTGAGGGAAATACAACATTTAGGTAGCATTCTCAAACTGTACTTATATTTGGCTTAAAATCAGTAGCAGTTTCTCAGTAGGATGTGTCCAAATGATTCAATTTCTGCTTCAGTTACTAGATTAAGAGCTAGGTGCAGACTCAGGCTGCGTATTCCAGCCTGACCCACCCAGCCCTCCGGCTTGACCCCCCCGCCCTCAAAGTTCAATCAACAGCTGTTGAACAATTTAGGGAGCTCTCTTGGGAGCCACTGGCAGACTCAGGCAGGTAAGCAAGGAAAACAAAGACAACAGGAAACCGGGAAGGGAAGACGGAGAAAATGAGTAAAAGGCCAAGCGGGCACAGGGGCCCGACGGCAAACCTCACTCAGCTTTCACTAAGTCCGTCTCTCTACACAGGTATATGTGCTTCAGAAGTTTGTGCAAATTCAAAGAAAATTAAAGATAAAAAAACCCACTTCAGCTACCCATGACCTGAAGTGAAGAATAAAAGAAAAAAGCACTAGTTTCTAATCCTTAACCAAGGCAAACACAAGTGCTGTGTCCCCCTCCAGCACTGCCCCCTCGGCGCTGAGACGCCACTGGGTCAGTCACTCGGGTCTATGTCTGCCTGGGAGGAGGTTACGCCTGGGAAGGCTGAGAAGCAGCTCAGAACGCCAAGACAGTAGCCAGCATCTGCACGGAAGTCAGAGGTGCAAAATCAAAGCCATCCGCCTTCCTTAGATGATAAATTACCTGTTCATTTCATTGAACATATAATCAAGGAGTATCTCTGAGAACAGGCCACATAATGCCCTTTTCTGTGCCTCACACAGATTACCATCAAAGAATAAGCCATGGAGTGAAATGTTAAATTTTCAAAGGGACTACATAAAATGATACTCAGCATAAAGTTTTAACAAGAAAACAGATGATCTAGTGTAAAAATGTCTACAAGTTCTTTTTAAAAAAAACATTCCCTATCTCCAAAGTATCTCCTAAAACATCAGTTCTCTCCAGGGACCACTGGGCTCCAAGACTCTTTCATGGGCTCTTGTGAGGTCCAAACTATTTTCATGATACTAAACTAAGATAATACTTGCTCTTTTCTCACTCCTATTCCCTCACAATTCTCCCAGTGGGGCTTTCCAGAGGTGACATGATATGTGAGTTCATAAAAGACTGAATGCAGAAGTAGGGATGAGAATCCAGCTTACCTTTTATTAAACCTGGCATTAAAGAGATTTACAAAAATGTAAAGCAATGCCACTCTCTTCTCATTGTTTTATTTTAGAAAGATTAAGTAACACTACACTTTTTTGAAAAATACCCATGTAATGATTTATTATTTTAAAGTGAATTAATAATTTTAGTATTAATTTCTAGTAGAGAAAAATGAATAAATATAACTCATACAAACAAAAGCCCTTTGGGAATCTATAATCTGTTTTAAAGGGTTTAGATACCAAAAAGGATGAGAACCACTGCCCTAAAACAACCCAGTACCTAGTAAGGAAGTTTCCCAGATGGATCGCTTTGGATATATGAAGTAATAATAAAGCCTGAGAAGTAAGTTTCTTAGCACTGTTGATAGCTGAAAAGATTCTACAAAGCTGTATTAGGTTGATACAAAAGTAACTGCTGGTTCGGATGGTGAAATTTTAAATCATTATAACGAGGCTCAAACACATCTTTATTAATCAAAATAGGAACCATTACCATCAACACATTTTTGCCAACAAGAATTAAGCCTATTTATTACTGTAGCCTAAGAATCCATGCTTTGGAATTCGACAAACTCTTGGAAAGCATTTTGTGCCTCCTGCTAGTTGTGGAAGCATTTTCCCTGCAAAAAGTTGTTGAGGTGCTTGATGTGGTAGTTGGTTGGCAAGAGGTCAGGTGAATATGGCAGATGAGGCAAAACTTTGTAGCCAAACTTGTTCAACTTTTGAAGTATAAGTTGTGCAACGTGAGGTCAGGTGTTGTCACAGAGAAGAATTGGGCCCATTCTGTTGACCAATATCAGCTGTAGGCGTGGCAGTTTTGGGTGCATCTCATCGATTTGCTGAGGATACTTCTCAGAACAGTTTAACCAGGACTGAGAAAGCTGCAGTGGATCAGATGGGCAGCAGACTACCAAACAGTGACCAGGACCTTTATTTGGTGCAAGTCTGGCTTTGGGAAGTGCTTTGGGGCTTCTTCTTGGTCCAAGCACTGAACTGGGTGTCACCAGCTGTCTATATAAAATCCACTATTTGTCACATGTCACAATTTGATCGAGAAATGGTTCGCTGTTGTTTAGTACAATAAGAGAAGACGACAGTTCAAAATGACAATTTTTTTGATTATCGGTCAGTTCAAGAGGCATCTGCTTTTCAAGCTTTTTCACCTTTCCAATCTGCTTCATATGCCAAATGAACACAGAATGATCGACGCTGAGTTCTTTGGCAACTTCTCATGCAGTTTAAGAGGACAGCTTCAGTGATGGCTCTCAACTGGTTGTTGTCAACTTCCAATGGCTGGCCGCTGCATTCCTCATCTTCTTTGCAAGACTTCTTGAACCACCACTGCACTGTACGTTCATTAGCAGTTCCTGGGTCAAATGCGGTTGTGGTGTTGCAAGTTGTCTCCACTGCTTTACGACGCATTTTGAACTCAAAGAAAAAAAATCACTCGAATTTTATGTTTGTCTAACATTTCTATAGTCTAAAGTCAGTCAGTAACAAAAAAGACCCAAAGAAACGCACATTAAAATGAGGTATATAACACAATCATATCTATTTAAGAATGTATTCCAATATCAAATGGCAAAGTTCAACAATGAAAAAGCACAATTACTTTTGCACCAACCTAATAGAATGATGAAAATTTGCGATCTGGAAAAATCAAGTTATGCATGCCTTTTTATCTGGAAGTGTAAAAGTGGTTTCTTCACCCTTCCTAGACAGGTCCATTCTGCCTACACAGGTGCTGTACTAAAGCTATTAGTGCAGGGAGTTGGGACGGTTGTTCCCCCGATTTCACACATACTTAGTGCTAGTCGGCGTGGCTCCCTGGCCCTCTCAGCCCAGGTCAGGGAGGGCCGGCAGGAGTCCTGAGCCGCCCTCTCCTCCAGGACCCGAGGGCTCAGGGTCAAGGCCACTATGGCCATTTCTCCTTCAGCTTTTGGACTTATTTCAAAACACTGAGAAGAAACGTTCTAACAAACTGACACGAGCCCAGCCTAACGCAGGGCACACAAGACAAAACGCCAGCACGACGGGTACGTTTGGTTTTCCCGGTCTGCAGGGGCCTCTGTGAATACCAAAAAATCTCATCTCTACAGCTGACTGCAGTGCTGACTGACTCCATCTTCAGCTGCTATGCAGAGCCGTGGCTAACTACCTTCCCGTCCTCACTGCCCAGCAGGGGCATCAATCCAGAAGAGACCTGAGGATGTGTTTCCACTCCTCTGTGAAAGACGACCCAACCCTTCGCCAACCACCATCAAAATAAAGGCCACGTATCACACGTTGGGTCTGCCGCAACCCTGAGCAACGTTTACTGAAGTCAAAATATCTCACATTTATAGTTTCATCAGCATGCGCACACTTCTCCTAATAACTTGGCCAATTTTACAGCTGAGAAAATAAAACTAAGAGAGCAAGCCGACAAGAGGTACACACACTGGGAAGCGCAGAACTGGGGTCTGACCTTGGTGTTTCACTGAAATCCAGCGCTTTCTCCAGCAGGGCCTGGCCGCCGCCCCCCGTTGCACGTGTTCACCCGCGACTGGGCAGGAGGCCAGGGAGGAGTTCGCGTCCAAGTCGCCCAACAGTAACCCCAGGGTCGCTCAGTGTTTTATAAAATGGTGTCCCAGGTTCATCCACACATTTATAATTTTTCAAGAGAAAACAAATCTACCTTCAGCATTTTTTTATTTGCTGTGTTCTTGCCACATTCTCTCCTCAGCTGTTCGCTCATCGCTTGCAGCTCTCTTCCAAAGTGAATCATTCTTTCTACGGCAGCTTGACTTCCTCCACACAGCTGGCGTCTTAACTGGCTTGAGTCAACTTCTGTAAGCAAAGCAAACAGGTACTTTACTACCTCACATTTGGGACACAATGGAGAAACAAACATAAACTGCTTACAACATTTTGGACGTTTCATTTAGTAACTACTTCCTAATATTTTACCTAAATACGTGATTTCTTTTTAATTTATTATAATATGGAATCTTGTGGCCTTCTCTAGGGCTCATGAGTCTAGGATCCAATATCTATCTAGCTTGGAGTTGAAAGTCAGGTGACAAGCTTTCAGTGTTACGATGTACATGTCTCAAGGAAAATGGTATGAAAAATAAAGCAGTTTTCTAAAAATATAGCAATATTGCAAAAAAAAAAAAAAGGAAAAAGTAACTACTTCCCAGGCTACTTTAACTGACACAGAACAGTTAGAAGGTAAGATGGTCTAAATGACTCCAATAAAAACACAGACGATACCGTACCTAATCAAAAGGGTTAATTACTTTTAGGAAAATATTTTACAGTTTACATATCTTGACTGACAATAATCACTGATCAACAATGCAAAAAGTATACATCAGTATTTAACAATATATAAAGCACTAACCATGACGGTAACAGTTAATGTTTATGAAGCACTTACAGGCAGTTATCGTCACACCCATTTTACAGATGAAGAAACTGAGGCAAAGAGCTCCTAAGTAATTCACCCAAGGTTACACAGCTAGTAAGTGGCAGTTGCAGAATTCAAGTCCAGGTGATCCGGCTCTAGAACTCCTGCTCTTTATCCCTAGGCACAAATTATTCTTAGAATATTGAGGCTGCATGCTAATATTTGATAGGGTAAAACTAGGCTGCCTTTCAGTCATACTCCTTGCTTGAAAGAGTGAATTATACATGGGAACACATGTCCTTAACAAGAAGGTGGTTGTGTAAGTAATATTAAGTTTGCATTTATAAAACAGTTTCTAGCAATGTTAATAAATTCCTTTTAGTATCAAAATACTATAAAATCAAATAAAAATTCATAAGCTTCAGTCATTTTCACTCTCCAATTGATGGGAAAGTTTGCTGATTGTTTCACTTTATGGTACAATTTACCACACAAGTTGTCCACAAACTAAAATTATGCATGCTAATATATTTTTCAGCCACATAATTTTGAGGGGGAAGGAACCAAGGGAGGGTGTCAAACAGGCACCTACTACCTGCCAGGCACTGAACTATGAATAGTCGCATATATTCAGATTAAATGAATTAGAGAAAATTTGATTAGAATTTATAAAATCATCTCTACCCATGTGGCCTATCTATATTGGCTATACTGAAACAGGTGCACAAACTTTTTGCATCTCCAACCTTACCAACCTTTCAAAGGACAGTGAGCACTGATAAGGTAGCACTGCTGCACTGCTGAAGGCACTGCAGCTGTGCAGAAGCAGTTCAGCAAAGAAAACTCCAGAAGATACTAAGAATTAAACTCTACTCTCTCCTGCAATCCACTCTCAGAGACTTCTAAGAGAATATGTTACTATCAAATCCAATGGCACACACATCTTTAAATCTGATCTATGTTCATCAGCTGTGAATCAGTACAAGTAAAAACATAACCTTGTAGTCATCATTTTTTATTAAAAATGTAAGAAATATCACTGCAGACCCATTTCGGTGTCACAATCTTCCATTTCGTGGTCATGTTTAGAGCTACCATTTAGGAAACCATTGGATGAAGTTTCTCCAACTCCATTGGAGTAGTGATCTGTTTCCATGTCTACATCATTACTGAAAATGAAAAAACAAACCTAATTTTAGAAATAGCACACTTGCAGCTTAGTTTAATATCAATTAGTACTCAACTACAGAGCCTACTTATAAAACTGGCTTCATAAGGCAATAGCAATCTGGAAAAAAGGTATTTAGTTAAATCTTGAATGTATTCAAAGCCAAAGATGTAGCTAAACTTTTAATGAATTTATAGTCCTGGAGATAAAGAAGGAAAAAGATACATGTACTAAAATGTCGTGGCTTTAAGAGTTCCTATCACTATGGAGAAATCATTTCTTAGCACATATTTCCCACTATCTTTCAAACTTAGATCTGCATTTCATTTAATCAACTCCTGCCCTAAAATACCAACCCCCTGCCCCAAGCATGTAAGGGAAAAACCTCCCTGATAAATAAACTACTCCTGGGACCCACCTCATTTCACCTCTTTCCCTGCCCTCATACTCAGCTCGCTTCTAGGCTTCTCTTTCTCTAAGTCTTAGCTTTTCTGCATTTGTCCTTACTACTCAAAATTATGCTCTTTCTCAAAGGTAAGTGATGACATGAAAAATGACTACTCAGTCTCATCCCCTCAGCCCTTTTCAAAACCCAACACTGCTTTTCTCTGACAGAGTTTCTTGTTGGCTGAAGATTCTAAATATACTGCAGAGTCTTAATTTTTGAAATGCTGTTTTGGAGATACCTAAGGCATTTTCAACTAGCCCATTTCACACTGACTGGATGAATAACATGTGCCAGCAGCTCTAAGAGGCCATGCTGAGGTGGCCAACGTTTGCCCTTCATTCCATCCACACCTCAAACAATAATATCTAACCTTCCAAATTTCTCCTATGAAGATCTAGGGAATGATTATACAGTCCAGAAGGAAACACTTGATGAAAATTTAGAAAATATTTAAATAAATAAAAATGATAATTTCTCATTAAAAAAAACAATGTATATTCATTTATAGGAAAAACAACAACAACAACATCGAACGCAGAGAGGCAAAAAGCACTTTATGCATAATGCCAGCAAAGGTAACCACTGGTTTCCAGCCTGGGCGAGTGGGTGCATACACACTTCTGTCCGTAAGACCATCAAGCTCAGAGATCTAGAAGAACAGGGTGTGGCCCCAGCACATCTCTGCCAGTTAGAAAAGCTTGTTTAGTGTCTTCATGAAATTTGAGAATTGATAAGAAATCATCCTGGGAGAGGTAACAACTGAAGTGAAATTTTACAGCTTGAATAAAAGCTGGGATGGAGGATAAGGCGGGTGGGGAGAAGGGCATTTCTCATGGGGAGTCCAATGGAGAAAGCGCGAGTCTAGAGGTCAGACATCCTGGGAAGTAGTCGTCGTTCTGCAACTTACTAGTTAACTAATTATTCACCTTAAAAAAAAAGCCATTTACTTCTCTGGTACTCAGCTCTACATCTGTAAAATGGTTTTCATAGTTGGTTAATACCATCTTTGCCTACTTCACAACACTGTCGCAAGGAAAGCCATGTACAGACTAGAAAGTAACTGTCACTGCGGGACAATTTAAGGCAGTTTAAGAGCTTACTTTCTTCTGTGCTGCACACAAAAGAGCATGCTGTTGTCATCAGCCCCTTCCGTTCAGCTTGCTTCCCTCAACTCAGCTAATTACAGGTCTCTTTAGCAACTTCCTGCCATGACACAGTATTTAAGTGAAAAACTCAACAAAGTAACTGCAAGCCTACCCTCAGACTACGGTAGAAGCGTTTAACAATCATAAGGTACTATCAATAAATGCTATAAAGTATGGTGATGCACTAGAGGCGTAACTGTTCACATCTCCGTAAGACGTTTTCACTACGATATTGGGATTTCATCCTTGAGCGCGTCATCTCTCTGCCTACCCTGACCTCCTCAGCAAGACAGTGCCTTTCCTACTGCTGTTCTTGGGTCATTTCTGTGGATTTCACAACTGGACCACAGAATACCATTATTTCAGGACATATTTGTCATTTGTAATAGACAACCTGGAAATTCTGATTAATCTCCAAATTTGTAAATGCAGATTTTTTACATGCACTTCTCCAGAATCATATTTCCATTGAGAGTCCCTGTAAACATTAGGTGCTGTCTCCTTCAATAGGAGAATTTTGCACTGAGGCATATTCCCCTCAAAATGCAGTGTGACCCATCAATTCATGTTCTAAGACCAAACCAACATCAATCAAATTGATAAAAATCTGTAAGAACTTGCCCTCACACACTAGCATTTAATTCAAATGGTTATATTTCACGAACCTTTAGGTTTCATGACTAGAAACTTGAGTATGTCAGAGTCCCATGACAGGAACACCTCTTCTCTCAAAGCTCTTCGCGGGGAGAGCTCGCTGAGCAGCGGAGTGTCTGACGCCCAGTGAGTCTCCAGTCCTCTCCTTGTGCTGGATGTTTACACACGACTTAACTATCTGCTACACGCAAGCCACTCAAATTAAAGGTAGGGTCTCACCAACAAATATTTTTGTAAAGTTAGTTATTTGCAACTCAGGAAACACTCCTCACACTGAAAAACCCACACACAGAGGAAAAGTAGTTGTGTATGTATCACATGTCAACTCCAGAGCTTAAATACACTACAGTGACTTAACTTGGAAACATTAACAAATGACATTCCTGTGACCACCGTAGGGGTCTGCGGTGGCAGGAAGGCAACAGAGAGCCTTGATCTGCCCCCGTCACCCCTCCAGAGGGAGAGGGGTGCAGAGGAAGAGGAGGGAGCCTCTGGGATGAACACGAGGCGCACGGGGAACTGACTCCCCGCCCTTTCGTTCTCTCAGACCCCCACTGTGGCCATCTAACTCCATTTTCCCAAATGACTTCACACGCTGCCTCCCCGTAACAGGGGCTGCTCACAGCGACGCCAACGCCAGGGGCCGAATTACCTGGTGAAGCTGCTGGGCTGCTGTGACCGGGACGTGTTCATGCTGTTCAGCTCCGGCACGTTCAGGCCAGACGGCGGGTGCTTACTGTGGCAGTACGCCTGATGTGCTTTGTTAGATATCACCCCGTTACTACAGCTCTCAAAGCCTGGGGGAGAAAGAAGATACTATAAAAACAGAAACAAATCAGGCTGCAACAGATCTACCATGTTCTGATGATGTACTTAAACCTTTTACAATGTGGGAAAGTCAGTGGACCACTTAAATAGAAAACAAGTGGATACCTTCTTCTAAAGAACATCAGGATACCTAATTGTGAGCTGTAACTCCTCCTGTATTTATTGAAGGCTTAATTATGCATCTCGTTTATCCCTGCCATGAGGCCCAGTGTTACCACAACCCCGTTTTCCTAAGAACACACGGAGGCCAAGGATCTGTCCCAGGCTGACAGGACACGGAAGTGTCCGGGAGGCGCCGGCTATGGGCACGAGCGTGGCAGCCGCACACTGCAGGCTGCCGCCGCCGCAAGCTGAGCGGCCGCGAGGGAAAGGCGCTCTGCTGCGGAAGAAAGAGCAAAGGTGCCGCTCTGCTCCGCGCGAGCACAGGGAACAGTCCTTGGGCTGGGTTTGAGAAAGTTAAACGAGCAGAGGAAAGGTAAGACCTTGGGAGAAACAGAAAGAGACAAGCAGAGCAAAAAGACTGAGGAGGACCTGAAATAAATCTGCAGAAGTGATGTCATAAAAGCCAAGAAAGGAGACGACATCAATTAAGACTCACCAAAAGCCTCAGTGAGTCCAGGAGGAAACGGACAGGCAGACCTGACTCCTGCCAGCAGCCGGGCTGGGAAAGGAGGAGGGAGAGGCAGTCGGCTGGGAGCCGGTGGCTTCAGACACCACGGCCACGTCACTGCCTTCATATGTACACTTCACTGAAACACACTGCCTTCTCATTACCAGGGATCTCTGACGTGACTTCTAGAGGCAAAACGCGAATGGTGCCCTTCATTTATGCAGATCTGTTAGTAACCCACTCTTAGAGACAGCTCATCTTGAACTTACTTTCTGGTACCAAAAATGCACGAATCTGACCTGTCCACAATTCTTCTTCCAGAATCTCTTGAGCTCAAATTACAAACATGCAAAATGCTAGCAGAAATGTCTACATCTTTTTTAAAAAAGTTATTTTTGTTCAAAACCATGAAGAAGGGTAAAAACTGTAAGATAATGTCGTAAGACTGAATCTCACCAGAAAAATGTGCAGTACTTCCTTTCCCCGATGCTAAATTGTGGATATTCATTCCGTGGCTGGGGCTCATACTTGGACTACTAAAAGGTCGAGGACTAACAGGATAACTGTCTTGAGACTTTGGACTTCGGCCTCCCAAACATCGTACTTCACTATCTGTACCATTCACCATTTCTATAAACTGACGCACTCTAAAAAGAGAAAACAAAAATTTATTTACATCATCTTCAGATTACTGTTTAGTTACCTAATAGCAAGAGACTTCTACAAGGAAATACTTTAATAATTTGCATTTATCAGTAAGTCTGGCCTTTAGATAATATACTAAAAATGTTAAATATGGTTCCATATACTGTACTGCTTAGAATATTTAAAAATTTCCTGAAAAATGAGAGTATAATGCAAAAGACATTGTATCACCTTTAATCAAGATTTACTAAGAAACTGAAAATCTATATGTAGCTATAGTAAATCAAAATAGACCTCATTTTTTTTTTACCTAAAATAATCAAAATAATATTTGCACTTGGACGCAAATCAAATAGTACCTAAGAAGTACCTGATGTACTTTTATGTACACACCTACCTTCACACAAAATAAGGGCCTACTCCCCACATTTCCTCACCCCAGTCCCATTTGCAACCTCTTAATCAAATGGGCCACATTTAAACTTTTATTCTAAAGCAAAGTAGTTCTGTCATCTGGTTTAGTGTTTCTGATGCTTAAAAAGCTTAAATCTTAAACTTAATCACAGCTGAATTTTAAGATAACAAAGCTTCATACAACCAACAACAAAAAAAGCCAAATAGCTATTATTTATTTTAAAACAATGAAAGAAACATAAAGCAGTAAGTGTAAGTGAGGATGAAAAACTAGAATCTTGTCACTGTTGGCAGGAATGTAAAATTGTACAGGGCTATGGAATTGTGAGGACTGATTTTCAAAAAATCAAACACAGAATTATCCTATATTCAACAATCCCCCTTCTGAGCATATATGCAAAAGAATGAAAGCAGGAACTCCAACACAGATGTGTACACCCATTATGCCAAGGGAAGTAAGGCAGTGACAAAGGACAAACATTTTATGATTCCATTTACATGAAGCACTCAAGAGTACTCAAGTTCAAGTGTACGGAGACAGAGAGTAGAATGGTGGTTGCCAGGAGCCGAGGAAGAGAGGGAAATGCAGAGTCAGTGTTTAACAGGTACCAAGTTTCAGACTGAGATCATGAAAAAGGTTCTAGAAACGGATGGCTGGTGTGGCTGGAAAACAATGTGAGTGTACCAGAAACAAGGTGAGTATCAGGAAACTGTACATATAAAAAAGGCAAATTTTATGATATGTGTATTTTTACCGGGTTTCCCTGTTAGCTCAGCTGGTAAAGGATCCACCCACAATGCAGGAGACCTTGTTTTTATTCCTGGGTCGGGAAGATCGCTGGAGAAGGGAGAGGCTCCCCACTCCAGTATTCTTGGGCTTCCCTTGTGGCTCAGCTGGTAAAGAATCCGCCCGCAATGCGGGAGATCTGGGTTCGATCCTGAGTTGGGAAGATCCCCTGGAGAAGGGAAAGGCTACCCACTCCAGTATTCTGGCCTGGAGAATTCAGGACTATACAGTCCATGGGGTTGCAAAGAGTCGGACATGACTGAGCGACTTTCACATATATTTTTACCGCAATTTTAAAAAATGCTGCAAACTTACTATAAGGTATTTTACAAGAGAAAAAATAGATATCCATCCTCTAAGTAAGAGTTTCACTTTTTTTAAATACAGGGATAGAATGACAGAAGAGCAAACACAAAGTAGAAAAATGCCTCCTACTTAAGAGTCCTCATATTCCTCAACCTGTTACTTAAATGTGCTATATTACAAAATTATATCTAAATACCTGAAACAAGGTAAAACAAAAATTAAAACTATTAAAGCAGGAAAATAATTTTGGTTATGTAATGCACATATATAATTAATATAACATTCATTAAAAACTCACTTTAATGTGAAGAGGAGGTTGGGATTTCTTTCAAGTAAACTTGGATATAACTGCTGTGTTGTTTCAATGGCTTCTCCCATTCTTCCTGCTAACACCAACTTCTGAATTCCTATTTAGAAAAAGAAAGCAAAAGATAAATTTTATAAGAACAGAAAAAGAAACTTAGTAGATCCTCAAAAAATTAGTAAAAAAAAATCTTTAAATTATGATGAGTCTGCACTTATTTTTCTAACTCAGTTTCTATTTTAAGGAATATTTTCAGACAAAATAACCAATTAGAAAAACAAGTACTGTAATAAACTACTAAAAAAAAGTCAAACATATAAGTAATGTAGGAAAAATAGTTGTTAAACAATACTGATATATTAAACACTAAGATGAAAAAGATGGGTATATTATGTCATACACTGTGGTGACGGTTTCATGGATATATACAAACTCATCAGGCTGTATATCCTAAATAGGCATCGTTTTTCATATGTCAACCATACCTCAATAAAGTGGTTTTTACAGAAAGGACCATAGGAGATATTAAAGAAATAATAATCAAAATGTCTTATCAAATACTATATAGCCTTTTGAACCCAGTACTAAATGAAAATTAGCCTCTGAGTAAGATCTGAATTCCAGAGCCACTGAAAGAGCATGCCCTGAGGGTTAGATGATAAGGAAAGGAAAAGATTGAGCGGACATCTCCTGTTTGCTACAGCCTATACAAGTGGTGAGAAAGAGGAGCATATAATCAGCTACAACACAAAGTCATCAGTGTGTTATAGCAATCTGACCTATGTGAGTTTTGCTCGAATCCCTCATGATTTCATCCCTCATGTCTTGTTTTTGTCTCGGCGCCCTCATCAAGCCACACCCTCCCTGATGGACCAACAGCACCAATTCTAGGATGGCTGACTGTGGATTAGTTGTCATGCTGGTCGGGACAGGCCCCTGTCGGAACAGGCCCCATAGCTCTTGCCACTAGCATTGGGACAAAAGCAATAAATACTTAAGACCCACACTATCTTAAGTTTAGATAGCAATTTAAGTGCAAACATCTCACACATTATCTCTACTAACATCTAACAATCATGGGACTACTTTACCTGTTGAAAAACACACACACACTTCTTATTAAATGTTTACTTTCTGAAAGCTCAAGAAAACATTTTTAAAGCAAAAGTGGCAAGCATTTTAACAAAAATTTCTCCAAAATTCTATCTTTCTACATCCAGAATACTACTATAGTCCTGTGAATTTTTTTAAGGTAATCTTCAAAAATGTCAGTAAAAGTCAATTTCAGAGGCATAATTTCAAATTAATAAATTTGAAAAAAAAACATTAAAAAAATCAAGTTTCTAAAAGTCAATGTAACCAAACCTATAATCTGAAAATACGTGTTAGCCATGCATCACAGGTCCTTACTTTGTCTATTTTTAATGGAAGCTAATTCTTCTAGAACGGTCTGGTCTGTAGATCTGGCAAAGGCCTCTGCTGTGGCACAGTACCCATGGTGGACTAAATAAGACGAAACCATTCTTAAAATAAAAAGAAGAAACACACAGCTTTTAGTTAAGAGAATACATGCTTCATACTGCAATTTACACACACAGTCCTACTCTGGTGTTACAGAACCAATCTGTGCCCTGGGAACAATGAAGGCTTTAACTACCTCAGGTTCAAGCTCAATTCAGAACATCATTTTGTCTTATGCACAGAGTTATTTCCAAAAAGATAACTGCAGATGCTATGGTGAGTCTACTCTGCCTGAAAAAGTATTACCAGACAATCAAAGGACACAAAATAACTTTGATTCTTAGCACTCCATTATCCCCAGGTCCTTTCCTATTATTTCCCACCCTTACTCAATCGTACTAACCATAATTTCTATTTTACCATTATCATATGACTTACCCTAGTAAAGGGCTGGCATTTTGTAAAATAAAGAAATTTAAAAACAATAGATTAACTCTTCGTGTTCTGTAGTTTAACTCTTTGCAGTCCTGTCCACCAATTACATAAAACGGGTCACAAAGTGTGAACACAAAAAATACGAAGGTGACCCCACAGACAGAATCTCCCGAGACAAAGTCTATGAGGGTGATAATATTAATCAGTGAGGAGTCAGCCTTCTAATCTAAATCAGGTAGTATGTTCGTGCACAGGAGATGAATTACTCAAATATGATTGATGAGTAAGTGACACTTCCAAAGAGCAAACTGATTTTTTAAAAACCAAGTGGTATTTATAAGTATGGTATTTGGATCTAATGACGAAATGTTAGAAAAACCGTTGACCTAACAGTATTAACTGAAATACCCAATATATCTGTAAATATTCAACTCTTGAACCTGCCTCAATCTGGCACTACTAAGGGCCCAACCGAAAATGGTATGAAGCAGTGGTTCAGGGAGGGGACCGAGCTGGCACGGGGAAATTTCTAACAGGTTTTTTTCATTTTATTTCATCTAAATGTTAGATTAGTTTAAGAGGGTAGGGGAGAGCGTTCTCACATGAACTTCCCCCAGCGAGGATCTGTTCTGTGAAGAATGGGGCAGGGGAGGGTGCTCTCCCTGCAGGCTGGCTGCAGGACTAGGATGGGGAGCGCTTCCTCCTGGGCCGCCTGCCGCGCCGCTCAGCGGGGACCGCCGCAGAGCCTTAAGGGGGGGACCCCGGGGCAGTCCTGGCCCACTCGCTCTGACTCGCACTGAGCAGGGGATGCCCAGTCAGGGCACCTACTCTTCCAACCATGCAGGGCAGAAACACCGGTGTCGAGACTCCAGAAAGAAGCTCGTTCTCGGAATCATCATCCTGCCCAAAATTATCTCCTCCCAAAAACATGCCAAGTTTTAGGAGATTTGTAGATTTAAGACTGTCAAAGCAATTATACAGACATTTAAGATGAACTGTGTCAGACTGAGGGTATCTTGAATTTTCTTGGGTTGGATGATGATAGTGAAAATGACTACTTAAACTTAACAGTATTTATTTTGAAGTGTGCACTACTTGGAGTTTTAAGAGCTACTGCTATTCAGTACGACTGACATTCACATGTCATCTTGAACCTTTCAAGCAAAGGCGTGGTCTAAAAAAAGGTGACTGTCACAGGGGTTGTATTTTCCTGCCAACTCCCATATTGAAATTCTACTTTTTCATAAAAAGCTGCCTAATAAAACAAATTGTAAATTGCGGGTAAAGAGTGAGTTGAGACAAAGGTCATTTATTTACAGTACTTTTACTAACGCCCACTACTTGCTCTTCTGCTGCCTGTCCTCCACTGTTACTACTGGCTCCCAGGCATTTAAACTGCACTGAGGAATCTTAGCTCCACACTCACTGTCTCTTGATCTGTATTCCCTTTACCTCCTCTTAAATGTTTATACAGTAAGTAAATGTAGTTCTGAAAATTCTTGAGGCTGGAAATTTTTTGTCAGACCAAAAAAAGGGATCCAAGTAAATAAAAATAGCTGGTATTATTCTTACATAGTTACCTATTCACTGGAAAAATTTAGCCAAATCCTGAAAGGTGCAATGAGCATATCATGTCTGTATTCCAGGATGTAAAATACACCATTATTTTGATGTTTACTCTTACTGAGCAATAATTATTTTTTCTCCCAAGTGTTTATACCACTGCTGAACAACAAAGCCAAGTTCGTGCCCCAAAACCACAACGTGAATTCTACAATCTAAATGATCTTTCTGAATTTATCTTCTGCACTGGCGCTATTAATAGTTGAATCATGTAACTTACGGAAACCATTAAATCCCATTACTGAGGACAGCAAATGAATTAACCTACACGATCTAGTGTCACTTTATTTCCTCCAGCAAATTAATAAATCAGACTAAAATACAACTCGGGACATGTGTCACCAAATCAAGCATTGTTAATACACTAAGATCACTGGGACACATATGAATAGATTAGAAAGCTTCATTCCATAAACAGCCTTTTACAGCGAAAGGCTGAAATGTTTTGTGAAAGAGGCACTCTGAAGCCGGCCCGGCACATCCCCCACTCACTTCTGTATCATGGTCTGCCACTCTCCTTCCCGGTCTCCGATAGGAAAGCGCTCTATCTGCGCCTGTGTCTTCGTCCTCCACTCGCGCATGTAATCTTCTATGTCGAACACGAAAGGGTGCTGCCCAAAATTAGCATCGACGACTTCTCCTGGTGTCTGGAGCCCCACAGTAGGATATAAATTTGGCTGTAAGACAACACAGTTCACTAAATATCCATCCCTTTTATGTTAATTTTTTAAAAAAAAGCAATTCATTCTTTCAAATGCTACCTTTAAAATAACAGAATTGCAAATTTGCTCCACAAATATTTTAAGATCTCAATCAGAAACTAGTAGAGGAAGAACTAAAGCAAATGATCAAGGAAAATACACAGCAACCTAAGCTACTTATTTATTCAGACCATACGGCATTATACTTCTAATAAATAAATTCTTGCTCTTAAGAATATGTCACACAGACTCAGGGAGCTGAATGAAACAGGGGCTCTGTGACAGGTTGAAAGGTGGGCTAGAGAGGCAGATGGGCAAGGGTCTGGGAGGGAGGGGACATGGGTGTGCCTATGGCCGACTTTTGTTTATGTATGACAGAAAACCACAAAATTCTGTAAAGTAATCATCCTTCAATTAAAAAATTGAAAAAAAAAAAGAATATGTCATACAACAGAGAGATTCAAGCATAATTCATGTTTATCCATCTTACGTATGAGACATGCAATGCACTTTCAGAAAGTGCACATGGAAGCTGATTACCAGAGAAGGACATCCGAACTGGGCAGACACTATTTTAAGTTTACTAATTTCTATTCTCTGTACATCTGGGGTGCTTTTATTAAGGAATGGTGATAAGAACTTAATTATAAGCGAAACAGTGCCTTTAAGAATAGAGATTCTTTTCATAAAAATAAAATGCACACATTTCGAGAAAGGATTTAAACATTCAAATTCATAAAGAAAGGCATTTCCTCCAAGATATACTCCAAGACTTGAGGGTGAAACAAGTTCAACAGCTTCAAAAATTTGTACAAAAAATACAGGAGTCCTTCTACTGGTCCTGTCACTACCTGTCACATCTGAAGGAGAATAAGTTACTGAATGCCTACTAAATGTCGGGGCTTAATCATTGTAATTACCCTGTTAAGTCATCATCATCATTATTATTTGCATTATGAAGATAGAGGAACTGAGGATTCGGGTAAATTAACGTGCTCACAGTTGTCCTATGCTACGGCAGAGCTGGGACTGGAACACAGGCTTATTTAACACCAAAATCTAAGTTCAGTGTTCCTTTATGTAACTCCAAACCCTACTTCATCTTCAGCCTCTGTATTTATGCCTATTTCTCTGCTTTAATGATTATCACAGGTATTTTCAGTACAAAATCAGGTAAAGATTAAGAGAATATAATGTGTGTAAATATAAGATGCTTAGATAGATTTCACTGCAAAAAGCTAAGAAGGTACTTTTAAACTCAAGTGACCAATCAAGCAACCAAAATCAGAAACAGAAGGAGTACTGTGGTAACATATGAAGAGATATAATCACACTGGGTTAGGGAAATAAATGTTAACGCAACATACACAAATGTACTGATCCTTAACAATCAACAGAACTCACAACAGAATTTTAAGGTGAGGACAAGTGAGACACTTCTTATAACCTCATTTCCCCAATGAGAAACGGAGGTTTAAAGCCCCAGTCTGTTGATGATGCACAGAAAGGGAGACTCGGGGCTCTACTCCGGGCACAGTGTCTTCTTCACTAAAGCCCATTACAAAAGTGCGACACAGTTTAAAATAAGAGTGTTTTAAGCCAAAGACTCTTATGTCAAGAAAAATGAAATTTATAGAAAAAAAAATCTGCCACACATATAAGGACCAATATTCTAAACTCGAAAAAATAATCTCAAGAATATAGGAAAACAAAGACTACTAGTTCACCTGCTCAATGCTATGTGGCAGCCTGGACTGGAGGGGAGTCTAGGGGGAGAATGGATACATGGACGTGTGTGGCTGAGTCCCTTTCACTGTGGCCTGACACTATCACGTCATTGTTAATTGGCTATACCCCAACACAAAATAAAAAATTAAAAAAAAAAACAACACAAAAAATTACTAGTTAAAAAAATTTAATTCGTAATAGATACATAAGGCAATTTGAAGAAACATAAGATGATTAAAAATATAAAGAGATAAAAACTGAATTTCTTAAATGCAAATTAAAATAAGCAGATTATTTTGCACAACAGATTAAGATTTTAAAAGCTGAGAATACCCAGTGTTGATGAAGGCTGAGAAAATAAGCCTCTCATTCACTGTACACAGAAATATGAACCAATATAACCTTGGAAGAAAGAAATTTGGCAAAATCTATTAAAACTGACAAGACAATTTTACTTCTTTCTTTCCAATTAGAATTGCTTTTATTTCTTTTTCTTGTCTGATTTTGAAATTACAGATTCAATTTCCTTACTGGTAATTAGTCTTTTTCTTGTAAGAAATTAATCCTACAGAAAAATGAACATGTGCAAAGATATATGTCCTGCAGCATTATTTTTAATAGCAAATGAAAAATTAAAAAGAATGTCCATTCATAGGTGGTATTAATATACCACAACCAGGGAAGCTCAGACCGCACTGACTATAAGATCTACCATCATTTTATGTCTAAGCAGAAACACTGTCCATTAAACTGTGACAGGCCATAGATTTCTAGGATGCACCCCATTTCATAAATGTCAAATACGCAAAAACAACCATCTTTAAATCGTTGCAGTATATCTTACAATAAAATATTATAAAAACAAGCATAAAGAAAGCATTAAAAATGTGTATAATGACACGGAAAGGCGCACTACACATTACTAAATGAAGAAAGCAAGCTACCAGAACAGAGCCTTAACTATGACCCATCTTCTTCCAGCCGACAGTTACGGACATGCTGGCTAACACAAGTTTATAACAGATCTAGAAGGGCATACACTNCAAGCATAAAGAAAGCATTAAAAATGTGTATAATGACACGGAAAGGCGCACTACACATTACTAAATGAAGAAAGCAAGCTACCAGAACAGAGCCTTAACTATGACCCATCTTCTTCCAGCCGACAGTTACGGACATGCTGGCTAACACAAGTTTATAACAGATCTAGAAGGGCATACACTTAACACAATCACTATATCTAAAGATGGTGAGGTGAGTTGGGGAAGAATGATCATTTTGAAAAACATTTCCAGTTTTCAGAGATGTAAAGCACCCCCTGGTTCCATAATAGGTAAGCTTTTTTTCTGTAAACATCCCCTCCACGGAGGCTGACTGCTATGATTGGCTAGTGAAGGATCACAGGTGGTGGGGACTCTAAGAGAAAGACTAACTTTTTCTTTCCTTTTTTTTTTCTTCTTTTTTTTTTCTTTCCTTTTTAAGTAGAAGAATGATATGTTGTGTGTGGAAGTCCCAGAAGATCTCACAGTTACAAAAATAAAGAGCTCTCAGAACCACTGTGTTATTAACAGAAAACTTACAACCACCACCCTAACCACCACTTTACCCACTGCTGCACAGATGGACATCACCCTTGGCTAATTACAGACAAGGCAAAAAATGTAACTGGTGATTCTAAAATGGGACCAAAAATAATCAGAAGGCAACCCCAAACAGTCAACATATCTACAACTAGCGACGCCTTTTTCAAATGATCACCACTGTCTATCAGTGAGGAACAAAATCTGCTAAGTGATGAGTTGATTTTACTTGCTTAGTGCCACAAAAAATGGGGGAAGGAAAAAAAAAAAAATCAAACCAGCTACATATGCCCTTCCACCAAACTCATGTGACATGGAGAATCTGGGCAAAACCTCTCCAACAACACTGAGCTACTCAGGCCCTTGTACCTGCCCCCACCAGACACTTCTCGAAAGCCTCTCCTTTCCACTCACCCACAGGATCACCCCCCTGTCCATTCAAGGGCAGGATCAGGCTACTTTTCCTCTGGATATACAACATCTCCTGTTTTTCTTGCTATTGTATCACTCTCAACAGCAAGCAAACACCCTGCTAAACCGCACAATAAACCCGCTGGTCAATTCCCAGCCCGTGTGATGTGATACATCACAGTGGCATCTGACACGCTGACTTCTCCATCCTTCTGGATAGATCTTCTTCAGTTGGCTCTGAAGGACACCCAATTCTTAGTCCTCCTCCTGCCTCACTCACTGGTCGCTGCTTCTTAACGTCCTGTTTCAGGCATACAATAAGTGATACCAATCAAAAATTTATTAATAGATTTAAATATCTGAAGAGATCAGTGAATATCAGTTCTAAATGATAAGAAAGCACTGTATCAGAGCTTATTAGTCCCCACTCCCTTTAGGGCTATATATGATGCATATTACAACTGATAGAGGCTTAGATTTGGGATGTAAGGTGTCTAGAATCAAACCACTCCTTATGTCTCTAGATGCTGAGTCACCACCATCTCCAGGAGTTTCTGCAACAGCCCTTCACAGTCGGCTTGTTTCTGTCTTAACTCCCCCCAACTGCCGTCTGTTCGTCATCCCCGTGTATCGTAATAGCTAACACTCTGCAAGGGCAGTGTGCTTCATTCAGAGTAAACGCCCAGGTGCTCACAATGTCCCTCAAGACCGAGGTGATCTACGCACCCACCATCCTCGGGTCTGACCCGGCTCCGACCGCCTCCGCCTCTCGACCTCCCTCACGCTCCTCAGACATGCCCCACGCGCTCCTGCCTGAGTGCCAGCCCCTCAGTGCCCCCTCTGCCTGCGACGTTCCTGTTCTCCGCATCCTCGCTTCCGACCCGGCTCCGACCGCTCAGCCTCTCGACCTCCCTCACGCTCCTCAGACATGCCCCACGCGCTCCTGCCTGAGTGCCAGCCCCTCAGTGCCCCCTCTGCCTGCGACGTTCCTGTTCTCCGCATCCTCGCTTCCTCCCAAGTTTCTGCTCGACAACTGCCTTGAACAGTGGTGAGCAAATTCTACCACCTGGGTTCCGTCTTTGGTACTCTCAAGTGCTACTGTTTTTCTTCCTTTAAAAGTTATTTAAATTTTTAGAATTATTTTTAATGCATTATTTATTCTCTAAGTTCCTCAACTTGAATACTCCGAGAGGACAGAGACCTCCATCTAGAGTTTTGCTGAATAAAAAGCAAGCACAGAACTCGCCACAGAGTGGCATCAATAGATGGTGAATTAGTAAATGACAGCCACTTATTAAAAAGCCCAACAATAAAAAAGAAACATATTTCAAATGAATCCACAGTGACACTAAAAAGTGTCTTCTAAATAACCATTTCTGATTTAGTTCTGAGCCACAGCTAAGTTCCCTGGGCAGCGGTGCCCAGTGCAACTGTGGGCTTCATTTCCGATGGCCCACACCAATGGCAGCTCAAAAAAGCTCTGGTCTATGTGCAGTGTGGCTTATAAGCTTATTACCAGTAAGACTGCATTTTAAATGTGAGTAGTACTAGTTCTACATGCTTCTTTTAATTAAAAATACAAAACTACTTTTACAAGAAATTATGTCTTACCGGTAAGTCGGTGAAAGCGATACCTAAAAGGAAGAGAAAATGGCATTAGAAGTTGTTTTTCAAAGACAGAGTATGATGACAAGCTGAATTTCTCACCAAAATGAAGGGAAAATACAGCAAATGAAGAAAAAAATTAAAAAGCTAAATATAAAATAACATGACTAATTTTTCTCTCTATAACACTAATACAGGTCTGAGTGAATGCCATCCTATTTCAAACTCATGACCCTTGTTAGGTACACGCCAATTTTATTTCTGGGGTATGGTTGTTGCCTCCAGGATTTCCGAAATGGTTCAGATATATAGTCAAAGCTATGTGAGGAACCACAAAAGAACACTGGTTGCAAAATAATTACATTTAATTTCGACTGACACCTAAGCTGCTTTATCTGGCCTTGTTATCTAAATCTTCCTTACCTAGACTTAGCTTTTAAATAATTTTGAGAGAAAAGAAAGATTTTCTGTTATAAAAAGGGGTGAATAGAAAATATAATCGCTTTGTTTACTTAAAAAAATTCTCATAAAAATAAATTCTCAAAGTTTTGATCACTCTAGAAAACAAAATTAATTCCTCCTTCAAAGGACAAAGATACAGTTGAGGATTTCTTTTAAATGCCCTCTGACAGTAATTTCAACAGTTATGTACCAAATACATTTGAACAATGGCAACATCCCAAAGTGATGTCATAATCGTCCTTTAACTATTCAAATAAATTACTTAGCTGAAAATAAGATAATAAACAAACCTGATATTTCTATAGGACCTCAGTCATAAGTTTAAAAAGACTGAGCTCTATAATAATGGGGGGGTGGTGCTGGTGAGTTGGCTGATCGCAACTCTTCAGTTTAAACAAACATTAGGACAAAACAAAACCAAGCTGGCACCCCTCCATCTACGGCGGTGATCTCCCCCTGGGAAAACGGGGGCCCTTCTGCTTCTTCACGGTCTCCTCCCAGCTGAGTCTGCGGCTCTACACTGCTGCTGTGCCGCCAGAAAACACAACCATCTGACTCTACTCATTAAAGTAATAAGGTCAAAAGGCAAACGGACTATAAATCTCGACTATACATGCCTTGAAATAAACGTAAAAATAGTGCTTTGTAATTACAACTGTTTTTATGACTTTTAAAAACCAGCAAACTCATGTTAACTTGTCAAAAGTGGAAACATTCAGATTACCTTTAGTTTAATTAATAAACAGTAAAGTGATTGTGGGCTAAACAAATGTGAGAATTTATCCTAAAAATTTCAGAAAACTAAAAAGAACAAAGAAAATAGCAAGAATAAATAAAACACGACCATATATAATTTTACCACCTTTCATAAAACAGCAGCCTAATCAGTTTCCCTCAAAAATGTCTATTGATAAAGACTGTCTAAATTTATATCATTTAAGCAAAAATTCCCCTTTGTCAGTAATTACTGAGCTCCTTTCTCACTTTACCAAGATCTCTAATGAAATATCCAACTTAATTCTATAGAATAACACTTTTGAACACTGTCAAATATATTAAATACAACCTATACATATTCAGACCACAAAAATGGCACTTTAACAAGCTGAACAAATATAAATTTTACACAGAAAACAATTTTTTCTCAATTTCCTAATCTGATTATCAAGAGACTTTTAGTAAAGTAATTGTCAACTGAAGAATGATAACAAAATTAAAAAATTCAAATGAATTAACTTGCATACTGAAATGTTTCTCCTTTAATTATTTTCTCAAAACTCTTTTCATTTCTCTTTATATGGTAAGTAAATATACATTTTGAAAACCTCTATGAGACAGAAACTAAGGATGTACCAAGCTTTGGGGCAGAAATTATCCACTCTGCGAAATACAAGGGGAGAGGAACTGAGTAAGATTTTATCTTCTAGATGCTAGAGTCTGGTCAGGAGAGAAACACATTACTCTGTAAAGGGTCAGAAGGTAAATATTTTCAGCTCTCTAGGCTTGTTTCAACTACTTAATTCTGCATCAGGACAGCAGCCATTATAGAAAATAAATGAACAGGAGGTGGGGGTTGTGGTGACTGTGTTTCAATGAAACTTTACTTAGAAAGCAGACACTGATCTAGCCCATGGGCCATCACAGTTTGCTGATTTCTGCTCCAGAGGAATAATTTTTGCTCACCACATCCCCAGCACCTCGGCCAGAGTCTGGCAAATGACAATAAACAACATTTACTGACTATTCACTAAGTGTATGGCAATCACTTAACTTCACATGCATCACTTCAGTTTGCCCTAGCAACCTTAGCAAGGTACATGTTATAGTGATCTGGTTTTATGATCTGAATGTTTAAGAAATAGAAACGTTTAAGTAATTCGCATAAGGTCACAAGCCTGAGCCAGGAGATAAACCCAGACAACTGAACTCCCATACTGACCACTGTTATCCTGACTCTCCATGTGCTTGATAAATACCTATTAGGTTTATGAATGAATAATGCCAACTGTTTCAAACTGACAATTTTAGAATGTGATTCCATCAAGTACCCTTGTTCTTAAACAGCATCTCACGTGCTGTGGTTCATGGGGTCACAAACAGCTGGACACAACTTTGGGATTCAATGAACGACCTCAACATATTTTAAAAACCGCTTCCTCACACAAGAGAAAATCTCAGTGTAAATGCATGTGAAAATCTAATAGGAAAAAAAATAATATCACATCATCTATGATCTTCTCAAGTCCCAAAATAAAATTTCTTCTCTGAAATAAAGTTTGCAAACTATAAAAAGATTCATTTTGGTTTTAAACATGTCATCTTTGCATTACTGAACCAAAGGTCCTACCTAAAGGCAGACTTCCGGTTTAAGATCTTAAATACCTCAAGCAGCCAAGCCAATGAAGACTATCCCAGTTAACTGCTTTGACAAGCCAGACAGAGCCTGAAGAGCAACAACAAATAAACTAAAAGGGCTGTCTCCTTCTGGAAACCAGTCTGCCAATAACAATCAGATCACAAATACACACACTATACATGGCATCCTTTATCAACGGTCTTGTACTGAAAAGAATGTTAAGAATCTCTGTGGACTTGTGAGAGCTTTTAAGTTAGCCAGCATAGGACTTCAGAATCAACAGTAATAATCAGAAGGGAAAGTTTTAAGCCAAATGTAACTATGGCTAAGACAGTAACATTAATAAGGAGTATGTCGAGACACTAAAAAAGCCCAAATAACTATTACCAACGTAGCCCAAAATTTAGAATTCTCTACTACTAAATTACAGAACAGTTTTTGCATTAAAGAATATTTATTATATGTCTAAGCATACTATCTGCAGTTTAATTTTTAAATACTGTTTATAAGCAAACTGAATTTTCTGCCTTTGGGATTAGTTTATGCCTTCTTTCACTTTATCTCATCAGAAATAACCTGCTATAAATCAAGAATGTTTTAAACAGCTAAAAATCTGAAACTTTTTTAAAAGCATCAACCTTGCTATCCTTTATACTTGCTTTAATACAAAACAAAGACAAAAAAAATCTAAGAAAAGGGAGCATAATAGTATTAAATCTGAAGTAGTACAGATATTCAACCAAAACCCCTAATTTCCTGTTGGTCTTACAAAGGAGCGATTTGCTCATGTTTTCACTAATCTATTTATTTGCCAGCTGTCTTTTAGAAGTTTTGTTGTCCTTTGCTCATTTTAGCTCTGCTCCCTTTTGCAGAACTAGCTTGTAGTTACAATCTTTGTTAATTTTTTGTCAGTAGACCTGATTTTTCAGTATGCCAATTCCCCTCATTTCGCTGGGAGCATTAAGCTTTTCCATGCTCTGTCATTACCCTCATGTTATACTAAAAACCGACAGCTTTTTTCTCGGCACCCGGTGTCTAGAAAACTGGATCATACTGTGAAGGGCTTTATTCAAAGCAAAGCAGAAAACATGTAGCATTTCCACTACTAGAATAAATATCTGAGCATGCAGTTACTTCTAGTTAAGTCTCACAGGTGTGATACAATGTGGCCTTCAATGTAAAAAATTAAGATTTTTAACTGAATATGTGCCCATTACATAATACTTCAGATTTAAATTTTCACCATTTTCTCAACTTCTACCTAGAAAAAGCAAAGAAATAATTTCCAGAAGCATCTACTCATAAAGGAGAATTACATAATAAACATTACTACCATGTTATAAGTACAATAACCATAACATCTGGTTATTTTAGTACCTAAACTATGTCCATTCTTGGTGTAGAAGCAGGTGTTGTTGATAAGGTTAACACAACAGCCAATGACATCACCAGTTGTAAAAGTTGGTCCATAAGGTTGTCCCGTTCCAGAAGAACAAAATGAATGTCCATCATCACCATGGTAACCATATGAATGTTTATCCCAGCCTAAAAGAGAAAGTTTCAGTATATTTACAGTGAAAAGTAAGGTTCCCCCAATACTAGAACTATCCAGTAAATTTATAAAAAGACAAGCAAGAATAGTACAATTTCTGTAAATTTCACCTTTACAAAGGTAAAATTCCCAAGAGTACATTTAAATTCTCAACAATCACAGTACATAAATTCTGTATTAAAACACTGCTTACAACATTAACAAAAATAAATCTGCCACACAGAATGCTAAACTATGTCTTAAACAGAGAGGACTCTTAACAGAAAAAGCAAACAAACAGCAAGACGCAGTCTCCATGCATACTTCCTTTGCTAATAGACCAAAGGAATTTTGCTTTGATTTGGTTTAAACACACACAGAGTTTAAAATAACACGCAAGATTTTTCTTTCAATTTTCAAGCAGTTTCCTCTAAAGTTAATTTTTAACATTAGTAAACAGAACATCAGAAAATATAATCGAAGAATCACTTTGGTACAATTAATGGTTTTAGGAGAACAGCCTACCATTGTGTTTCACACCTTCCTTACTTTGCTTTTTTTCTCCTTAGTTTACTTTTAATATCAGCCTAGATACCCACCCAGAGTATTAAACAACTGAAAATGGGGTAAAAGTCAGGAATGTGTTGGGAAGGACAGAACCAACCACATGAAAACAGCTAAAGTAGTTGATATCACTATGTACTAGATGTTCAAAACACCAACAAACAAAACAAAACAAGCAAAGCAAAACAAAGCATGGCATATTTTGGAAAATAGCATAAAGTTTATTAAAACCATTAGCTTCAACTCTGAGCTCATTAAGTGATTAAAAATATAGAAGATTAATGTACTTAACTATCTCAAGTTACTACTTGACATTTTTAGCCAGAGTTAGCCATAAGACTGTACTGTAATTCAATTACAAGTATACCTGGTAGTCTATTCATGTTCACACCTTGAGCAGAAAGACCAATTCCCATGTAACTGTTTAAAAAAAAAACAAGGAAGAAAGAAAAGCTGGTGATTAGAGTTACATATATGTATAAATTACCAAACACTCTCAAACATTATCAGAATTAAGCCCAAGATGAAACGCATAGGGTAGCTACAAAAAAATTCTTAGAATTCATGAAAAAGCAAAAAAAGGGCAATATTAAGCAACAACAACCCAGACTCACAGTAAAGTCCTATAGCTATCATTCATAAACATACCCAAAGAATTACTTATGTATTCTTACAATTATAAAAATCTTTCCAACTTATCTACACATAGATATTTGGAATTAAGAATTCTAACAAAAAGTACAGAGGGGCATGTGGCTTTTAAAAGGACACAGTAAAAATCTAGTTCCTCCCCTCCCCTAAACAAAGACATGGAGACATATTTGAAAAAAATATCCAATTCAGAAAAAGCATCCGCAATACCTAAATATCCTAAAAAGTATGTGCTACAGGGTAACCATGTATTGGTTTTCCAAAAATATTTAGGCAAATTGACAATATGGACTTAAACATGAAAGCCTTAATTATTAATGTATAAAACACGAGAACAAAATTATCTCTACAAAAGAAATACTAGAGCAAAAGGTTATCATTAAGGTATGCAATTCATTTTAAAAACTTTAAAAATATTAATCATATCTGATAAAAGTAGTTAAAAATATAATGTAATAGAAATTTCTTTGAAGTGTAAAGTACAAAAAAGTATAAAAAGTATACTTTTATTAAAAGTATAAAGAAATTCATTTACAAGTATTGATGCAAAAAAGAAAAACTAAAAAAGCAAAATGAATCCATTAGTTAACAATTAAATTGCTAACTGTGATTGTATCAAGATTTAAAATGGTATTTGATGAATTTAGCTACCACTCCTAATAAAAACTCAAATAAACATAAAAGGGAAGTACCTAAATAAGACACAGTTTTTGCCAAATCTAATACAACAAGCAAGGTATTCAACAGTGAAACATTTAAGTCATTTCCAATAAAATCAGGCATAGAGATGCCTACAATTGTTAAACATTGTTTTAAAGGTTTTAGTTCAATAAGAGAACTAGATAACAACTAAAAATATTACAAGATATAAAATTATATTAATTGTAGTTGCTCTGATTATATACCTCAGAAACTATGGAATACACTATACATTTTTAGAATTAACTAGGTATTTTGGGAAAATTTAAGATCCCCTGGAGAAGGTAATAGACACCCACTCCAGTATTCTTGCCTGGACAACTTCATGGATAGAGGAGCCTGACAGGCTACAGTCCATGGGGTCGCAAAGAGCTAGACACAACTGAGCAATTAACACACTTTGGGAAAATGACTCAATGTAAGAAAAATATTTTAATTTCTTTTCTAGTAATAATCAGCTAGAGAAAGGAAGTAGAATCTATAGATATCAATCATAATAACTACAAACACTATAAAACAGGGGTATCATTAAGGACGGGGGCTTCCCAGATGATGCTGGTGGTAAAGAATCTGCCCACCAATGCAGGAGACTTAAGAGACACGGGTTTGATCCCTGGGTCGGGAGTATTCCCTGGAGAAGGAAATGGCAAACCCACTCTAGTGTTCTTGTCTGGAGAATCCAATGGACAAAGGAGCCTGGTGGGCTACAGTCCATAGGGTCGCAAAGAGTCAGACACAACTAAAGTGATTTACCATGCATGTATACAAAATAGGAGTAAAGAGCTCAAGTAAAGCTCAAAAACAGTATCTTAAAAGTGATAATAAATCAGTATTTTAGTATCTGGATAACATAACAGCATAGGAATAGCAATCTTTCTAAAATCAATATGTATGTGTACTGAGGTTCAAGATAAGACTCCAAATGAGTCTATCTTTTTAAAACTAGAAAAGGTGATTTTAAAGTTCATAAGAAAAAACAGAGAATTTTGATCAAGACAAAGTTAAATAAAAAATAACTTAGTGTCTGTCCTACTAGATAGTAACATTCACAAATAATGGAATTCACAAGTGCAATATGACCAACAAGAGTTACATGTCAAGGGACACCACAATGACAAAACATGAAGAAACATATTGGATGTCTAGTCAAGACTCATTAAGCTGGTGTTCTGATTCAGCCCCTCTGTTCCAAATACGGCATACAATGTGATTATTTATGTTTAAAGAAAGTAGTAAGTTACAAGAGACCCTGCCAGAAGAAATACAAAATGAGCAGGGACGGCTCTGGGCCCAGGGACACCCAAGAACGGGAGGCGTCGTCCTGAGGCACCAAGGGCTAACAAGGTTCCACCATGGATCACCAGCCCTGCTCACTGCTTAAAGCCCACCGGGAAGATGCTCCCCCTCCTGAAGGGAAGAAAGCACAGGTACCACCCACGGCCTTGGCTAAAGCTCATCTGACACTGTGGCCTAGTTAAGGGGGAGGGAGAAGGAACAGCCTCTTAGCTAAGAGCTGGACAAAGTTACTGACTCCATCTGTGACTCAGCCTGCAACACTCACCCTGAACAAAGAACCTGGAAACCCTAATGTAGACCTGGCTTTTGAATGGGGGCCCAGGAGTCAGAAAGCAACTATAAACTGTAATAAAGAGAAAAGTATAGACTAGATAAACAAAATGAAGGAAAATGTTTACCTTCCTAATTAAAATAATGCCACAAAAACAAAATTCTAAAACACACCAAAAATGTGCCATGCTTAATTGTGTCTGACTTTTTGCGACCCCATGGACTGTAGCCTGCCAGGCTCCTCTGTCCATGGGAATTCTCCAGGCAAGAGTACTGGACTGGGTTGTCATGCCCTCCTCCAGGGGATCTTTCCAACCCAGGGATTGAATCCAGGTCGCCCACATTGCAGGCAGATTCTTTTTTTAAAAAAGTTTATTTATTTATTTTAATTGGAGGCTAATTACTTTACAATACTGTAGTGGTTTTTGCCATATATTCACGTGAATCAGCCATGGGTTCCCCATTCCTATTCCCCCTCCCACCTCCCTCCACATTTCACCCCTCAGGGTCATCCCAGTGCACCAGCCTTGAGCAGCCTGTCTCATGCATCCAACCTGGGCTGGCGATCTGTTTCACGTTTGGTAATATACATGTTCCAATGCTGTTCTCTCAAGTCATTCCACCCTCGCCTTCTCCCACAGAGTCCACAAGTCTGTTCTTACATCTGTGTTTCTTTTGCTGTCCCGCATATAGGGTCATCGTTACCATCTTTCTAAATTCCATGTATATGCGTTAATATACTATATTGGTATTTTTCTTTCTGGCTTACTTCACTCTGTATAATGGGCTCCAGTTTCATCCACCTCATTAGAACTGAATCAAATACATTCTTTTTAATAGCTGAGTAATATTCCATGGTGTATATGTACCACAGCTTCCTTATCCATTCGTCTGCCGACGGGCATCTAGGTTGCTTCCATGTCCTGGCTATTATAAACAGTGCTGTGATGAACATTGGGGTACACGTGTCTCTTTCAGATCTGGTTTCCTCAGTGTGTATGCCCAGAAGTGGGATTGCTGGGTCATATGGCAGTTCTATTTCCAGTTTTTTAAGAAATCTCCACACTGTTTTCCATAGTGGCTGTACTAGTTTGCATTCCCACCAACAGTGTAAGAGGGTTCCCTTTTCTCCACACCCTCTCCAGCATTTATTGCTTGTAGACTTTTGGATAGCAGCCATCCTGACTGGCGTGTAATGGTACCTCATTGTGGTTTTGATTTGCATTTCTCTGATAATGAGTGATGTTGAGCATCTTTTCATGTGTTTGTTAGCCATCTGTATGTCTTCCTTGGAGAAATGTCTGTTTAGTTCTTTGGCCCATTTTTTGATTGGGTCATTTATTTTTCTGGAGTTGAGCTGGAGGAGTTGCTTGTATATTTTTGAGATTAATCCTTTGTCTGTTGCTTCGTTTGCTATTATTTTCTCCCAATCTGAGGGCTGTCTTTTCACCTTGCTTATAGTTTCCTTTGTTGTGCAAAAGCTTTTAAGTTTCATTAGGTCCCATTTGTTTATTTTTGCTTTTATTTCTAAAATTCTGGGATGTGGGTCATAGAGGATCCTGCTGTGATTTATGTCGGAGAGTGTTTTGCCTATGTTCTCCTCTAGGAGTTTTATAGTTTCTGGTCTTACATTTAGATCTTTAATCCATTTTGAGTTTATTTTTGTGTATGGTGTTAGAAGGTGTTTCAGTTTCATTCTTTTACAACTGGTTGACCAGTTTTCCCAATGTCTTTTCTCCATTGTATATTCTTGTGCAGGCAGACTCGAACACGGGAGTGGGCGGCCTACACCTTCTCCAGGGGAACTCCCCAGCCCAGGAATCCAACCGAGTCCCCTGCATTGCAGGCAGGTTCTTAACCAGCTGAGCTACATAGGAAGCCCCACAAAAGGCATATAAGACCAACGAAATACACAACTGGAACATGAATTCATTCTAGAAGACATCAATCAATGCAGAGTATGATTTTAAAAAAAAGCATTTAAAAAAACACATACATTTAGGATTATGTTAAAGAAAAAAAATGGAAACACCATTATTAAAAACTACAGTGGAACACCAGTATTTACTGAGATAGTTTAGCTAGTGATTTGCCACAAGTAAAAAATATTTTGGTAAACTGAAAGTGCACATCACACACACTGAGAAAGATAAAAACAGATTCACACACAACCACACTACAGACTATCGATAACAAACGAAATCCTAAAAGCTTCCAAAGAGAAAGGCAGATCATGTCAGAAGGAATGACGATTAAAATGACAGCTGACTTCTTTCCAGCAACAGCTGATGACAGTAAACAATGGCACAAAGTATTGAGAGTAAAGACCTGTCAACCCAGAACTTAATCCCAAGTAAAGCATCATCCAAGAATGAGGGCAAAATAAGGTATTCTATGGCATAATAAAACTAATATTCTACTATCCACAAGTGCTCACGAAAGAACTATTTGAGAACAGACTTCAGTAGGAAGCCCAGTGAAACCACAAGGAAATGCATGAGACA